TCAGACCAGACAACGCCACGGTAGTGGCGTATATCAATCGCCAGGGGTGACTGAGATCACGGCACCTCCACAAAATGGCTCGGGAACTCTTGCTGTGGTCTCAGACCCGCTTAGCATCACTGTGGGCAGCGCACATCCCCGGGGTCTTGAACCAGGCAGCGGACATGCTTTCGAGAAATGGCCTGCTGGAAGGGGACAGGAGTCTACACCCTCAGGTGGCGTTACAGCTGTGGGAAAGGTTCGGGAGAGCGCAGGTGGACTTTTTTATATCTCAGGAAAACAGTTATTGTCCCAGCTGGTTCTCGATGTCGGACGCTCCAGGCCCTCTGGGTTTGGATGCCGTCGCTCACGATTGGCCTGCAACGACACTTTATGCGTTCCCACCATTTCCCCTGATCACAGCTACGCTAGAGAGTCAGTTTGAAGGGCCAAAGGCTGCTCCTGATAGCCCCATATTGGCCGAGACGACCATGGTTCAGCCTCCTGTTGTCCCTCCTCTCTGGGACCCCATTGCAGCTGCCGCTGAGACCTGACCTGCTCTCTCAGGCTCGGGGAACGCTCTGGCATCCAGACTCACACCGCCTCCAGCAAGGGCTTGGCCCCTGAGAGGCATAAATGGGACAATGTGGTGAACACGTTGCAGAACGTCAGTGCTTCCTCCACCAACGCGTCATATCAAATGCGGTGGGGCATATTCTGTACTTGGTGGGAGGCTCATAATGTTGCCCTCGAGTCGTGTGATGTACAAACGTTTTTACACTTTTTACAATCACTGCTTGATGCGGGCCGAGCAGCATCTACTTTGAGAGTGTATTTGGCCGCAATTTCGGCATGCCATGACGATGGCCCGGAGGGACCCATGGGTGGCCACCCCTTGCTCTCCAAGTTTATGAAGGAAGTTAGGCGTCTGCGTCCATCGAAGGCCCGTTCGGTGTCAAACTGGGACCATGAATTGGTGCTGTCAGCACTTGCTAGGCCACCCTTCGAGCACCTGGGGTTAGCATCTTTGAAGCACCTATCAATGAAGGTGGCATTCCTGTTGGCTATTACCTTTACTAAGAGGGTTAGTGAACTTCATGCTCTTTCAGTGAGTGCTGAATGTTTCCGAATGGGTGCAGACAAGGGGAATATTATCCACCAGCCTAACCCCTCTTTCTTGCCGAAGGTCCTGTCTTACAGACATGTGAACCGGTCCCTTACATTTGTCCGCATACGCACCTCCCATGGCTGCGAGTGGGCTGGGTTTTTCCCCAAGTGTGCTGTGCCCGGTGAGGGCACTAGACACTTACGTTACATGGACTAAGGCAATACGACAGTCGGATCAGCTGTTTGTGTGTTATGGTCAGAGAGTTCTGGGGAAGAGCCTATCGAAACAGAGACTCTCACATTGGATCGTGGACACTATTACTGCAGCATATCAGCTGGCCGGCTGGCCTTTGCCATCTGCTGTGGTGGCGCATTCTACTAGTGGAGTAGCTACATCGTGGGCCCTGCTCCGAGGAGTTCCCCTTGATGAAATTTGCGCCTCGGCCAGTTGGGCATCTAGCACTTTTTCTAGGTACTATCGAGTCGATGTTGCTGCCGCAACCAGGTCGGGACGGACGTGTTGGGTGTTGCCTCCACTTCCCTGGAGGGGGATGGAGGGACACAGCAACCATGACTGCCCTGAGCTCAGTCCTATGGGATTTTGCTCGTCTGGCCATGCCTAGTTCACCGATTAATCTGGTATTGTGATACCATTTGGAGTGATCCAATATAGTGCTACATAACGAAGGTTACGTATGTAACCACGGTTATGTGAGATATTGGATCACTCTAATCCTCGTCGGTGATCTACGGCGTCTCGAAAAGGACACAAGGTGGGAGTAGTGTGGTGGCAGCTGTTTAAGGGGGTCAGCCGCAGCACTACAGCACTACGGGACTAATCTGAGCGGAAGGATACCATATTGGAGTGATCCAATAGCTCACATAACCTTGATTACATACGTAACCTTTGTTTTCCTGTAGTCCTGCCCATTACGTGCTGTCAGTCAATATCACCCAACATACCAGTTACAGCCAATCAGAACTGCTGACAGGGGAACAGGGTCTGTCTGCCCGCCTATTGGCTCTTTCACAGCAGATGAGATCACTACACTGCCTGATACACCAGAACGTGCTTTGCGCTTAAATCAGCAGTGAGTTAAAAAACACTATGGACTCAGTTATGGCCAATGTTCCCTCTAAGCTGCGGGCACACGCTCAGCTCCCCTCGGACTGCTGCGCAGAAGAAATATGAGTCTGCGCAGAGAAGCACGAGATTGAACTTCACTCAACATTCTACAGTTTTCCCCTTTAGTTAACACTATCAACGTTTCGCTCTACTGTGGGGGAAAAAGTGGTTTCTTGCATCAAAGGGTAATAATACTCTCAAGAGTGCAGCCTATGTGAGCTTAGGGAGGAGATTTGCTTTTCTCCATGATTGCTGCCACAAGAAAGCCAACACATACAGTGGGGGATAAAAAGTATTTAGTCAGCCACCAATTGTGCAAGTTCTCCCAACTTAAAAAGATGAGAGAGGCCTGTAATTTTCATCATAGGTACAAGTCAACTATGACAGACAAATTGAGGAAATAAAATCCAGAAAATCACATTGGTAGGATTTTTAGGAATTTATTTGCAAATTATGGTGGAAAATAAGTATTTGGTCACCTACAAACAAGCAAGATTTCTGGCTCTCACAGACCTGTAACTTCTTCTTTAAGAGGCTCCTCTGTCCTCCACTCGTTACCTGTATTAATGGCACCTGTTTGAACTTGTTATCAGTATAAAAGACACCTGTCCACAACCTCAAACAGTCACACTCCAAACTCCACTATGGCCAAGACCAAAGAGCTGTCAAAGGACACTAGAAACAAAATTGTAGACCTGCACCAGGCTGGGAAGACTGAATCTGCAATAGGTAAGCAGCTTGGTTTGAAGAAATTAACTGTGGGAGCAATTATTAGGAAATGGAAGACATACAAGACCACTGATAATCTCCCTCGATCTGGGGCTCCACGCAAGATCTCACCCCGTGGGGTCAAAATGATCACAAGAACGGTGAGCAAAAATCCCAGAACCACACGGGGGGACCTAGTGAATGACCTGCAGAGAGCTGGGACCAAAGTAACAAAGCCTACCATCAGTAACACACTATGCCGCCAGGGACTCAAATCCTGCAGTGCCGGACGTGTCCCCCTGCTTAAGCCAGTACATGTCCAGGCCCGTCTGAAGTTTGCTAGAGTGCATTTGGATGATCCAGAAGAGGATTGGGAGAATGTCATATGGTCAGATGAAACCAAAATAGAACTTTTTGGTAAAAAACTCAACTCGTCGTGTTTGGAGGACAAAGAATGCTGAGTTGCATCCAAAGAACACCATACCTACTGTGAAGCATGGGGGTGGAAACATCATGCTTTGGGGCTGTTTTTCTGCAAAGGGACCAGGACGACTGATCCGTGTAAAGGAAAGAATGAATGGGGCCATGTATCGTGAGATTTTGAGTGAAAACCTCCTTCCATCAGCAAGGGCATTGAAGATAAAACGTGGCTGGGTCTTTCAGCATGACAATGATCCCAAACACACTGCCCGGGCAACGAAGGAGTGGCTTCGTAAGAAGCATTTCAAGGTCCTGGAGTGGCCTAGCCAGTCTCCAGATCTCAACCCCATAGAAAATCTTTGGAGGGAGTTGAAAGTCCATGTTGCCCAGCGACAGCCCCAAAACATCACTGCTCTAGAGGAGATCTGCATGGAGGAATGGGCCAAAATACCAGCAACAGTGTGTGAAAACCTTGTGAAGACTTACAGAAAACGTTTGACCTGTGTCATTGCCAACAAAGGGTATATAACAAAGTATTGAGAAACTTTTGTTATTGACCAAATACTTATTTTCCACCATAATTTGCAAATAAATTCATTAAAAATCCTACAATGTGATTTTCTGGATTCTTTTTCTCATTTTGTCTGTCATAGTTGACGTGTACCTATGATGAAAATTACAGGCCTCTCTCATCTTTTTAAGTGGGAGAACTTGCACAATTGGTGGCTGACTAAATCCTTTTTTCCTCACTGTATCTAGCAAATGATTGATGAGGAGTTCGTATCAGATGTTTGTTTTTTAGTGACATCTTCATTCAATTGAATGGACTTAATTTGGGACTACAGGGGAGGGATAAAACAGTTAAATGATTGAAAAACAGATTTATTTTCAAAATAAATTAGTTATTTTCTCCTCTGATTTGAGCCCAAACAAAACGCGCAACTATATTCATTCATCAGTACAGATCACTCCCGTGATGTCGAAGTTTTTAGATAAACTGAAAGCTAACTTTGCAATGAGATTTGATGAGTTGAAGTCCCCACAGAGGTGGTGCAGTTTGTTATAGGGACCCGTTCTCTACTGATGGGGGGAGAGAGAATTATCCACAAAAGCTAGTCAACTGAGATATCCCATGCATAAAAGGTTTCAATGTGTAAAAAAAAAAAGAAAAAAAAAGAAGACAGAAATTGAAAATAAAAAACAATGTGATGCTGGTCAACTGAGATATGCTGTGCATAAAAGGTTTCCTATGTGCAAATGAAAACAAAAGATGAAGCTATGTATGTAAAACGAACAGGAAAGTAAAAAATAATTTAAGTTTTAAATACAAATGTGGTCCATTCTTTTAACAATTTGATGCACTGAATTAGGCTAATCTTAAACTACTTAAAATTAACTATTTGCAACATTTAATTTTAATAAAAGTGCTTTATAAGATTATAATTTTGTTTGTGCATTGTGTTTTATACCGGTCATAGGAAGAGTAATCCCACGTAGAAAATGTCTGGCCCCCCTGTAAATAACCTTTTTCAACTCTGACCCCCATAATACAATAGTTGAATAGCCCTGCATTAAAGGCTTTTAGGTTTCCCCAGCAGAAGTGAAAAGTCAGAGGGGAGTGTGTGATTTCAGCGGTAGTAGAGGCCAGAGTGTGTTTACCTGCTCGACAGCGTCTGGATGGCAGGTCAGCAACCTGGTACCAGCGGTCCTCCAGGAAGTCATAGCACTCCACACTGCGGATGGCTTTAGGAGCCTGCCCACCCACCACTATCATCACCTAACACACACACACACAAAAGAGGGCTCCTATTTAGCTACATGTAACAGTTTCAGGGTATAAATGACGGTGTGTGTGTCTGTACGTGTGTGTGTGTATGCGTGCGTGCATGCATATGCGTGTTGTCTGACCTTGGGCAGGCTGATAGGCGTGCGTGGGCGTGTACGGTCAGTCTTGATGAGGTGGCGCTGATCAGCGGGCAGGAGGTGGTACTTCATGGCCTCTATCAGGAAGTCCTTGCAGATGTTGTTGTTTTTTATCAAGGCCTCCTCCTCCACTATCTACTCCACGGGACACAGCACAGTGAGCACACACAAAGTGCAGACAGGAGCACAATAGAGCCACATGAAACAAGCACGATATGTACAATATATAGTTCACCGTCTGGAATAAAACAATTACGCAAGTTTTCACATATCACAGTATGATTTCTATGCTGGATAATTTGGGAGCTTGATTAATTATTAATGCTATGTGAAAAAAACAAGATGAATGGTGGTGATGAGTGTAACCCACCTGCACCAGGTAATCTCTGGACAGTAGTGGCAAACGAACGTGCTCCATCAGCTTTGGCATGTGCTCCAGACGAGCTTCCTTGTTGTGCTTTATCCACGCAACCATGGCCTCAAACACCTGAGGAGAGAACACAAAGAGTTAATTAAATTTACCGGGGGGGAGGGGGAGACAAGAACTCGATCTAACCAGTGCTGTGACTCCCCTCCTTTAACTGAACAGACAGACAGCCATCTGCCATCTCTCTCTCTCTAGCTCATCCAACCTGCTCCATTCCCTGAAGATAGATAGGATCAGAGCCATGATTGGAGAGACAGGAGACGGGGGCAGAGACATTAGAAACAGGGCTGGTGTCATGTTGGTGTGTACAGTGGCTTGCGAAAGTATTCACCCCCCTTGGCATTTTTCATATTTTGTTGCCTTACAACCTGGAATTAAAATGGATTTTTTTGGGGGGGGTTGTATCATTTGATTTACACAACATGCCTACCACTTTGAAGATGCAAAATATTGTTTTGTGTGAAACAAACAAGAAATAAGACAAAAAAACAGAAAACTTGAGCTTGCATAACTATTCACCCCCCCAATACTTTGTAGAGCCACCTTTTGCAGCAATTACAGCTGCAAGTCTCTTGGGGTATGTCTCTATAAGCTTGGCACATCTAGCCACTGGGAGTTTTGCCCATTCTTCAAGGCAAAACTGCTCCAGCTCCTTCAAGTTGGATGGGTTCCGCTGGTGTACAGCAATCTTTAAGTCATACCACAGATTCTCAATTGGAATGAGGTCTGGGCTTTGACTAGGCAATTCCAAGACATTTAGATGTTTCCCCTTAAACCACTCAAGTGTTGCTTTAGCAGTATGTTTAGGGTCACCATCCATCATTCCTTCAAATTCTGACCAGTTTCCCAGTCCCTGCCGATGAAAAACATGGTGTTCTCGGGGTGATGAGAGGTGTTGGGTTTGCGCCAGACATATATTTTTCCTTGATGGCCAAAAAGCTCAATTGTAGTCTCATCTGACCAGAGTACATTCTTCCATATGTTTGGGGAGTCTCCCACATGGCTTTTGGCAAACACCAAACGTGTTTGCTTATTTTTTTCTTTAAGCAATGGCTTTTTTCTGGCCACTCTTCCGTAAAGGCCAGCTCTGTGGAGTGTACGGCTTAAAGTAGTCCTATGGACAGATACTCTAATCTCCGCTGTGGAGCTTTGGAGCTCCTTCAGGGTTATCTTTGGTCTCTTTGTTGCCTCTCTGATTAATGCCCTCCTTGCCTGGTCCGTGAGTTTTGGTGGGCGGCCCTCTCTTGGCAGGTTTGTTGTGGTGCCATATTCTTTCCAGTTTTTAATAATGGATTTTAAATGGTGCTCCGTGGGATGTTCAAAGTTTCTGATATTTTTTTATAACACAACCCTGATCTGTACTTCTCCACAACTTTGTCCCTGACCTGTTTGGAGAGCTCCTTGGTCTTCATGGTGCCGCTTGCTTGGTGGTGACCCTTGCTTAGTGGTGTTGCAGACTCTGGGGCCTTTCAGAACAGGTGTCTATATACTGAGATCATGTGACAGATCATGTGACACTTAAAGATTGCACACAGGTGGACTTTTTTTTATTTAGATTTTTTGAAACAAGTCATTTTTTTCATTTCACTTCACCAATTTGGACTATTTTGTGTATGTCCATTACATGAAATCCAAATAAAAATCAATTTAAATTACAGGTTGTAATGCAACAAAATAGGAAAAATGGCAAGGGGGATGAATACTTTTACAAGGTACGGTACATGTGGGTTGGCTTTGCTTTGTAAGCACATTAGCAAGTGGAGCATGATGCCTGGAGTGGTGGGTCAGCACTGGCACAAGCAGCTCAGCTCTCTCTCCCTCTGTGGTAAGTCACTCTAGGACGGGGACCAGGCCGTTTGTGACATGGCTGTCCTCTACTACAGCAGGAGTGAGTCATGGGGAGTCTGTTGTTATGGTGAGTGTCATCTGAGTAAGACCAGGAGGAGAGAACTTGAGAGCCTGAGCTCTATTGAGCTTGTTCATAGCACAGAGAGTGGAGTTCCTGGAATGCACTTGTCTTGCGTAGTAATGGGAAGTAAGGTACTCTTCAAAGGATAGGATAAGATAGGTGCCTGCAGTGTGTGACTGAACAGAACAGAAGCAGAGGGAAGTTTGGGGTTGGTTTGGGGTGTTCTGGTGGCTGGCCTACCTTCTCCTCTGTGGACACGGTGAGTTTGTCACTGGAGATTAGACTATACACCTGCTGTAGAGACAGGCCCATGAACTCCTCTCCCAGCATCACCTCGGAGAAATGCTGCTCTGTTAAACAAACACAAGCACATGGTTAAGCTATACAACTAGGCTTCTCACAGTCCGTTACACACCTGAGAAATGGCAAAGGTTATCAGCATATGGCCAGCAAGCTCCAGCAGTTTACCACATCTACACAATGTAAGGTCAAATTTGATATACTCAGTCTTGACAGCTAGCTGGGATACTGGGCTTGGGCAGAAGAATGTCCATGCAAAACAGGACCAGGATAATATCTTCTAACAGTAGTCTTAATCAAGAACTTCCTCAGGGTTTTTTCTGGATCAAAAATGGGCTTAGGTGGTGGGCATGATGGGGGGCATGGCAATGAGCGCGGTCGGCTGTCGGCACGGCTACATCTTTGAGAAAATGTTAGAGGCCCCCCCATCTTAGCACTGTAGAGAATTTTTTGAAATTCCACACATTTCTCCATGGAGCTTAGAATTGATTTTGCAGTTTTAAAGCGAATTTCCTGCAATTCTACACATTTTGCCATGTAGTCGAGAGAAAATTTAGCAGTTTTAAAGCACATTTCCTGTAATTCTACATATTCTGCCATGGATAATGTTGTGTTATTCTGCTCAAACATAATAACAAAATGAATACTGCTAAATTCATTGTTTTTGGAATTTTCAGTTCTCTCTGTCAAGCTTTTATTTTGGTGATTGATAGTTCTCAAAGATTACATTATTAAAAAATGTATAGGGCCATTATTTTTTCTACATACTTTATATCTGGTTTTTGTCATTCGAGTTTACACTTAAAGCGTTTTTCTATCCCGAAAATGTATTGTCAAAAAATTTATTATTATAATAAATTACAATTTGGGCTTAGGCGACCGGGAAAAATGCTTAGGTGTCCCGCCCAAGGATTACAGTGGTAGAAAGTAGCCTATCATAAATGCCAACTTTATGCAGTATAGGATTATGACGAAACGAGTATCACAATACTCAAAAGAAGTATGGTAAGGAAAGAAAACCTGAAGCGGAAACAAACATCATTATGTTGTCATCCTGTGTTACATCTGTTTCGTTTTCAAGCTATAGCACACAATATTTGACATAAAGCAGGTTTTTGAAGATCCAAAGAGTTCGGTCTGTGCCTTGTTTTCATTTTTGCCATGGAAAATCGAGTATCGAGATTCTGGTTGTCACAACCCTTCCTGCAGTATGCTTTTTAACTGCCATCTGACCAAGACAGAGGCCAGTTTCTCCATCCCCTCCCCTATTCCCACACCTTCTCCCTGGTGAATCCTAGAAGTGAGGTGGGGGTCCACTCACCAGCATAGGCATGGGACTGGTTGAGGAGCTGTGTGCAGGTGTGGAGGTCAGCAAAGGCTCGGATGCCCAGACAGTTGGTGGGGTGCAGCTGGCTCTGCAGGAACTCACAGCACAACTGCCTCACGTCCATCAGCTGCAGGAGACTGGCTGCAGGCAGGAGTACCTACAGAGACACACCGTAGATCAGAACACACAGCAGGAGACACTATCCAAGCAACCCACAAAGGGAGAGAGAGAAAAGAGAGTGCAGGCCCCATAAAAGAAACAGACCACTATATCATCAGGACAACTAATAGAATACACAGCAGCAGGGAACAAATCTCATTGTGCTTGATTTTCTAATGCCAAGCAAATCTCCATGTTTTCAATTAAAACTCAGAGGATTTTAATATTATTGAATGGTTTGAAGAATCTATTGGAGGCAGACTCATTCCAAATTAATTCCAGAGTTAGAGTTAATCCCAAAGTAGAAGCCAACCGAAACAGAGGCCAGACTCAGTATGGACAAAGGGCCGGAAACAGACAAATATTTACTAGGATAAGGGCTTAAACTGGGAGAACCCCAAAACAGGGACAGCAGGGATTACAGGAGAACTCTGCATCCCTGGCTGTTTCTCAGACTATAGCCGGACAACTGGAAGAATATGTACTGGTGGTACATGGTGGTCAATTCTAAAGGAGCCATTTGGCTTCTCTGGTTTATTAGCCTCCAGCCTGCCAGTCTTTTGGTACTATTGTGTGCTTTAACATGCAGCCCAGAGCTCCCATTTGCCCACATCCCCACGCAGTGCAGACACACAGAAACTAGGTCACTTAGCTCTCCTTTGAAAAGTCCTGTGATTATTCATTGTTTGCCTGTTACCCTTAGGTGTGAACAGGGAGCTACAGGCTGACTATTATAGTGGGTGTTTTCTGCAGCTGTGGCCCACACATTCTGAGAGAGCCCACACGGAAAGTACTGTAGCACCACACACACACACACAATGAAAAATGATCCAGTCTTACTTGGCTTGGATGCCATACTGAAAAACACACACACACACACACACACACACACACACATCCAAGCAGGCATGTTGCAAACACTGAGAGGATTTCCCCTCGCTCTATGCACATTTCCTGAGCTAATAATAACAGGAAATGCCCTGCCTGCTGAAACCCTGGCCTCGCCAGCAAGGAAGGAGCAGACTGTCAATACAGGAGAAAGGGAAAGGCCCGGGTAGGTGGAGACAACTCTCTGCCACTTAAAAAGTCAGTAATTTTGAATGAAGGAATACCAAAGCAACATGAAAGGATCCATGGACTCCAATGCTGTATGCAGTTGAACTTGGTACAGCTGTAGCTCACCTGAACGTTGTCCTCTGTTACTTCAATCTCAGCTGTATAGATATAGTCCACCAGCTTCCTAAGTGTCTGGCCATCCACTTCCCTGATCTCCACCTGCTGGGCTTTGCTCTCACTCATGTCCCCTGTCCACCCCCACACACAGTGAGAGAAACCACTTGAGAAGGTTATGTGACAAGAGGAAACCAATCATCTCACTGTTGCAATAAAGCGGGCCTCACTTTTACAACATTTTTCACTTGACCCATTACTTTTACAATGATGACAAATGTAACCTATACACACAAATGTATACACTACACTATTTACCTTGAACTATATGAAGTGTAATAATACCTGTGAACATGGCACAGAAGTAGGGGCTGCAGGAGGCTAGCACCAACTTGTGAGCTGGCACCTCTATGTTTCCCGCCACCAACAGAACGTCGCACAGCATTTTCTTACTGTAAACACAAAAGATGAGAAAGGTTGGCTTTTGTTGAACAGTGTTTTCCAAAATCATCATATTGATGATTTCTTAATAACGGTCAACTGGATGTATAAGTGCTCCCGCTGTGTGCCAAGGTCATTGTATTAGGTCATTGCACAGTACATTTTACATTTTAGTCATTTAGCAGACGCTCTTATCCAGAGCGACTTACAGTTAGTGAGTGCATACATTTTCATACTGGCCCCCCGTGGGAAACGAACCCACAACCCTGGCGTTGCAAGCGCCATGCTCTACCAACTGAGCTACAGGGGACTATGTTGGCTACTCTGTGCCAAGAATAGGCTGTTATGTATCATGTGTAGGCTATTACTGTGTATAATGACTAGGTTATATTATCGACATCTTACAAATGACATTACATGGCTTATTTTCAGTGATGGAAAAAGGGGATACTATGGAACTAGCTAAAACAAAAGAACACGACGGCTTTGCAGCAAAGCAAGCCATGACACCCATCATCTCAGATTGTTCTGAAATCGATTCTGCACTAAGAAACATAAGACCCCACACCAATCCCACCCCAACACCAAGTATACAGATTCCACACAAGAAAAACACCTAATTGCAGGAACAGCACCATCTATTGTTCAGAACCGGATAACTTCAGGATGTAGGACGGGACATAAACCTAACAACTTCAATTACAAATTTCACTGAACAGAGGGGAAAAAACATCATCAAATTCACTGAGAATACGTTACATAGGATGAAGAAACAATACTCTGAGCCGCTGCTCCTTACTACTTATCAGACATAGAGAACTGATACTGTATACTCGTTGTTGGGTTGGGATTGGCGTGGGCTGTGGTGGTTCCGTGGGTGGCTTTTAACTATTTCTAACGATTCCTTGTGTCTTACTCACTAACCAGGTGTCCATCCAACCTTTTTATGTGAGTAAAGTATGTGTCAGATCAAAAATGTCATGACAGGCCTGATGGAAACATTAAATGTTTCCATAAACCTTCCAAATGTTGACAAAACAACATATGCTAGAGAAGGTGGTATATTTTTGTGTCTGTAAAATGAATTATGTGAGAAATGTAGATGGAAATGCTTTTATGAGCGAATATTGATATAATAACCATCATATCAAAGTAAACTTGGAATCCCGCAATGACATGTTGTGTGGTCCTCCCACTATGACTCCTTGGGAAAGCATGCAGTTTATTTGGCTACAGATTAAATAAACTATGATTACTGCATTGTTGGTTTTAGAGCTTGCAAGAAAGGCTTTTTACTGTACTTGTGCATGTGACATTAAAACAAGTTATGATGAACTTCACAGGGTGGTGAAAGTGCAAGGTGACGAGCTTGACGCCCCTTTCCAATAACTATCAAGGGTCTTATTCTGGTGACATGATCATCGATGCTTGGCTACCATTTGACAAATAAAAAGTATTGCTCTTTTGTCCATAATAATCTTATCATGTAGGCTATAGGTGTGCTCTAGCCAACAGCGCTATCTGCTCACACTGTATCAAATCTAATTGTTTTCAACATTCCGGCTTGTAGAGGACTTGAGGTCCATTTCCAGACTTTAGTGTATTTAAGAAATTCACTCGTCTGTGTCCTGGCAAGGGTGAAACCAACCCACCTCCTTAAGTCATTCATCAGCTGAAATGCCTTTCTCATATGGGTGTAGTTGAAGGTGTGCATCCCCACATCCACTGCATCCTCCTCGGAGTCACAGGTCGGCTGCTGGACACTAGATTCTTGACTGGTCAGGGATAAACTGGACATAAATAGACTTACCTAGCTAGGATAGCTCAAAGATCATTAACCTCAGTCATAACCCTAGCAGACTAAAGTCCACTCCATGGTGAAGGAAGTTTCTGATGACTCCAACTGAGTGGAGCAGAGACCTGGCTTTGTGGAATCTAGCTCCGACTACAGCGATTCGCCCAAGTTCAATATTTAAAATAAAATATGAAACGCCTACCGTGTACCTATGTTTGTCCTCTGTAGTTGCGTGCCTTTCTTTGTTTGCTGACATGGCGAATCTATGTGGTCGGAGCTAGTCATCAGAAACGTCCTGGCTTCACCATGGAGTGGAGTTTAGTCAGCGATCATAACCCCAGCCCTTTGACTTGTACAAAGATATCATTAACAAAATCCAACACTAATTTCAAAGACAATACTGGAGTTAGGTTTTCACTGCTCAATAACTGAACAAAATATATTTTCAATGACAACGTATAGTAACGTATGCTTCAGTACAGGCTACAGTTTCTAGGTGGCTAACACAGAGAGAGTACACTACAGTAGTAGCAGCTGATGTGTTGGTAGTTAAATAGTTACCTAGCTAGCAAGGTAGTAATTTGGCAGCTATTATCTTTAGCTATGACTTGGTTACTAGTACCACGATATAATAAGTATGTGTTACCCTTATTGGACAAACTAGATAGGTACAACTGTCCTGGGCTTGCTTTTTGTTCACGCTGTTCGCTTAGCTTGCTAATGTTAGCTAGCTACATCGGCACACCAATGGCAATGCATGCAGTACAGTAGTTAGTTAGCTAGCAAGTTAGCCAGCTATTCATAGAAAAGGCCACATCTCTATAAATCATCTGACAAGTTATAACCGACAACAGCTGTACAGCATTCATCGGGAGACTACACTTTCATCACGACCCCTCTGACAACTTACCCCAACGTTGCACAGTCCATGATATCAGATATGCTGCATGAGTTGTACCGGGGTTGGCTACGGGCCCATGCACAAAATTAATCGTTCAAAGACAAAGTCCAACACAACTCACTGCATGAGGTGGCTTATCGAATCTTCACTTATTCATTAGCTGACCAATAAACCTAGCTAATAAGCAGACGTCTTCTCATGGTTACCGCTTATTTCCTTTCTACCCTAAACTATTACAAAAGGTGTTATTTTCTGACTGAGCGAGAAAGGATAGAGAATGTTTTTTCCCAGTCACCACTGCTGTTTCATCCCGCCCCACTTCCAATCCGCAAAGCTTTGTTCCACCCGAGGAACGTCTTGGGTTCCGCGTTGCTAGGTTACGGCTTGTCAGGGTGATGAAGGATCCAGTCAAGAAATTGTGTCGTTGTCGGTTACAAACTAGCAAGCCATCATTGAGGTAACTTAGTAATATATCAACATAATCAGATCATTTAGAATACTGATGTATAAACTAATTACATTTGAGTTAAACTATTTTGAATAGCCATCTTACAAAGTGTTAGCTAGCAAAAATGTGTGGAAGCTAAGTTAGGGCCAGCTGTGCGGGTCAATGACAGTGAACTTGAAATGTGAGAACGTAGGCCTAATGGGTTTCAATTGGTTTATAAGACATCATTGGTTCAAGGTTGCTAACAATTCAGATAAATCAAAAGTAGCTCACGCACTCATAAGCATAGCTTTACATTTGAGAATAATTAAGAATGTCGCTATAGGTTTAAAACAAATAGATATTTATTAAATCCACAAATAACTATCACAGTACAGAACAAGCACGGTACATTGATTCTCTGTAGCTCAATTGGTAGAGCATGGCGTTTGTAACGCCAGGGTAGTGGGTTCGATCCCCGGGACCACCCATACGTAAAAATGTATGCACACATGACTAAGTCGCTTTGGATAAAAGCGTCTGCTAAATGGCATATTATACATACTGGAATAAAAAACAAGAATACATATCTTAATGATTCAGTGAAAGTTTCAACCTTTCTAACAGGTGGATATTAGGCCAAAGAGGTCCTTCAAAACCTCCGCATTTTTCAGACATCCTTCATCCTGTAATGACAGGACCACTGAAGCTGGATCAGCACAGTCTGGGGTCACACCTGTCAAAATACATTGGAATAGATTACCATTAAAACAATTTCTAAAAGCCATGCAGTATCCAGTTACTATCCACTGGCAATTTAACATTTTAAACCAGATAGTCATTCACCATTTATAAGCAAAATAAATGCTGCCCTCCTTAGGCTAAAGACAAAAACATATGGAAGTTCCTTGACTGAAATGAAACACTGAATCAATACAATTGTGTAGGCCATATCAAATGACATGCATGTAAACAGAATGCCTCTAATAACTAAATGAGTACAAACAAAGTAAAATCACCAGTCGTCCCAGTGCCAAACATGGTTTCCTTCCTTATAGGAACTTGTCCTCATTTTGGTCCAATCAATCCCTTGAGATCCTCATCAACCAGCAGGATTTATGAGGAAGAATGTGTCATCTATCCATTCTGTGGAAGAAAATACAATTGTACTCATGGGCAATAACTATAGTTGCCTTTTAACTAATTAGATGCCGAAGAATGATTAAATCAAGTTCACTGCAATTGACTACATGGCTAGTAAGTCAAACATGGGGTCCCATATTAATAACACTTCAATCATTATTTTTATTTATTTTTTAAATGCAACTTAGTTACATTATTACCTAAAGCAAAAATAACAGATCTGCGCTAACAAGCAGACTTAGCTATTAACTTTGTTTCAATAGCATCTGGGCAAAATACAAACAGCAGTCCTACACTGCTCAAAACAAAATAATCTAAAGGAGTAGTCCTATTACTTGTGGATAATGGACATTTAGACCTAAGTTATTTGAGACCTTTTGGAGTGAAGACATTGCCTCCTAGTGCTCTGTAGTTGCTATGGAGGTGAAGACTGCTGTCTAGAAAATGTACAGTGCATTCGGAAAGTATTCAAACTAGTTGACTTTTTCCCACATTGTTACATTACAGCCTTATTCTAAAATTGATTAAATTGTTTTTCCCCCCTCATCAATCTACACACACACACACACAATACCCCATAATGACAAAAACAGTAAATTTTTGCAAATGTATAAAAAAAAAAACTGAAATATCACATTTACATAAATATTCATACCCTTTACTCAGTGCTTTGTTGAAGCACCTTTGGCAGCGATTACAGCCTTGAGTCTTATTGGGTAGCTTGGCACACCTGTATTTGGGGAGTTTCTCCCATTCTTCTCTGCAGATCCTCTCAAGCTCCCAGGTATTTTCAGATCTCTCCAGAGATGTTAGATCGGGTTCAAGTCCGGGCTCTGGCTGGGCCACTCAAGGACATTCAGAGACTTGTCCCGAAACCACTCTTGCATTGTCTTGGCTGTGTGCTTTGGGTCGTTGACCTGTTGGAAGGTGAATCTTTGCCCAGTCTGAGGTCCTGAGCACTCTGGAGCAGGTTTTCATCAAGGATCTCTGTACTTTGCTCTGTTCCTCTTTCCCTCAACCCTGACTAGTCTCCCAGTCCTTGCCGCTGAAAAACATTCCCCCAGCATGATGCTGCCACCACGCTTCACCGTAGGGATGGTGCCAGGTTTCCTCCAGACGTGACGCTTGTCATTCAGGCCAAAGTGTTGAATCTTGTTTCTCATGGTCTGAGAGTCCTTTAGGTGCCTTTTGGCAAACTTCAAACAGGCTTCCGTCTGGACAATCTACCATAAACACCTGATTGGTCGAGTGCTGCAGAGATGGTTGTCCTTCTGGAAGGTTGTCCCATCTCCACAGAGGAACTCTGGAGCGCTGTCAGAGTGACCATCGGATTCTTGGTCACCGCCCTGACCAAGGCCCTTCTCCCCCGATTGTTCAGTTTGGCCGGGCGGCCAGCTCTAGGAAGAGTATTGGTGGTTCCAAACTTCTTCCATTGAAGAATGATGTTCTTGGGGACCTTCAATGCTGCAGAAATGTTTTGGTACCCTTCCCCAGATCTGTGCCTCGACACAATCATGTCTTGGTTTTTGCTCTGACATACACGGTCAACTGTGGGACCTTATATAGACAGGTGTGTGCCTTTCCAAATCATGTCCGATCAATTGAATTTACCACAGGTGGACTCAAGGATGATCAATGGAAACAGGATGCACCTGAGCTCAATTTGAAGTCTCATAGCAAAGGGTCTGAATATTTAAGGTATCTTTATATATATATAAAATTGCTAACATTTTAAAAAACCTGTTTTCACTTTGTCATTATGGGGTAGTGTGTGTAGATGGAGTATTATTTTTTTTAAAATCCATTTTAGAAGACTAACGTAGCAAAATGTGGAAAAAGTAAAGGGGTCTGAATACTTTCCCAATGCACTGTAGTTATGAAGTTAGAGGCATCTGCCTCCAAGAGTATCTGTAGTTAGTTGCGAGATGGCCAGAGTAACTCTGGCTAGATGGCAAGGAACTCTAGCTACCTAGTTGGGTCAGCCTTGAATAATGAATACTGTACTAACTTTCCTAGGGGGACGGGACTGCTTTGAGTGAGATTTGACGGGGCTCTAGTATGAGCCATCGTAACGCCCCCTGCCGTAACCACTACCACCTCGGGAGTAAGCCGCGCTGCTTCTTCCCGAGTAATTACCTTTCATGGGGCCATAGCAACCTCCAAATTCACTTTAGCCGTTCTCACCCATTTGATCGCGGCACTGCTCCATAACCTCCGCTATAGTTGCCATAGCCACCACCGTATCCATTTTGAGACCTTGCGCTCCTCCTGCCACGGGTTCCAGCAGCCTGCATTTCTTGCTTGGTGAGGACTTTTTTCACCTCAACTTTATGGCCATTAATGGTGTGGAATTAAAGAACCACTGCTTTGTCGGCATAATAATTATATCCGAAATAAACATAAAACCCTCTTCTTACCAGTTTGATTATCGCTAATAACCTCGGCCTTCTCGATAGCACCTAACTGAAATAAGTAACGTTACTGTGGTCCTCTGTAGCTCAATTGGTAGAGCATGGCGCTTGTAACGCCAGGGTAGTGGGTTCGATCCCCGGGACCACCCATACGTAAAAATGTATGCACACATGACTGTAAGTCGCTTTGGATAAAAGCGTCTGCTGAATGGCATATTATACTCGTTCAGACCCCCTATATTTTTTACACCTTTGGCAGGGCCTCAGGTTTTCCCGCATCTTCACGTGCCACTGCTCTTTTCAGTTCAACATTGAGGCCGCGCGGACATTGCAACGTCTGCCTCCGCAGCACAAGCATAGTTACAAAACCAAAACAACGAGACCAGCCAGTAGTTGCTGGTTCTGAACAACTACGCAATCGGTTAGCTCGCCATACTGTTCAAAGTGTTTACGAAGGCCATCGTCAGTGGTGTAAACATTTAGCCCACCAACAAAGAGCTTGCAGAGTTCATTTTCCATCTCTAGTATCTTGCTTTGATGCAATTTAGCTATGTCAACACCGACTTGACGATGATTCTCCCGGTGTCTAAAATGGCGGATGTAGACAGATCACGGGGGAGACAGATGGTTGGGGTTGACGTAATGAGTACAAGCCTCCTAGTGGCGAACCATTTTTTGGCCTATTATAGTAAATAATAATCATTTTTGACAGCAAAAACGGTAAATGCCGACATTTTGCAGATTTCCATAATCATAGACCTAATGATTGTGCACATTGGAATAATCTAAATTAAAATCAGGCCTGTCATGAAATTTGAACAGGACAACCTAGAATGATATGTAATGGTATGGACTAGTTTATTTTTTGCTAAGTGTGCAGCAAGAAAATTGGGAGTGTTGACAAGCTGTATATCAGATGTACTGGAGAAAAAAATCACAATCCTCACTGCCATTATCCAAACGTGTCAGACACCTGTGTCTATTGACATGGGATAAGTTACCTGCAAAACCGTAGTCACTGCTAAAAAAATAAAATAATCAACCTCATAAACCAAGAATCCCTCTCATTGAAAATGTGATTCAAAAAGGCTTACAGTATTAGCAATGATGATTTTTAGTATTTGCGTAACACAGGAAAACAGAGGGCCTAAAAAATGCTTGACTGTAGGCCAGTTAGCACAGTCCCAGATTAGTCCATTCCTGAACAGGAAAGTCACCAGTGATAGTATGTCAGTAGGGTGTGCAACTCCCTCATGATACAACTGTGATCCTGAATGATCTGAAGTCTTACAACTTGATTATCTTTTGAAACAAGAGGTCAGAATGGTTAAAATTGACAATAAGCACTGATTGCTTTCAAACTTTAAAAACTTTAATACAGCCAAGAGTGAGGCTCAATAGCCAACTAATTAATATTCAGGATTTAAGTAACATTCCACAAAACTGCATTGATTCGCAAGGTATTGAATAGTACATCTTGGACGGAGAAAAGCATTCGGAGGTAACCATTTAAAAAAGTATAATAATACAATAACCATAAATGATTGAAATACTTTGACTCGAAATATTATGATCTTAAAACACTCAAGCATACACTAAGACTGCTTTCAACTCCATTAATACCCCTGAGTTTCATGTTGCTAAACAATATGTCTTGTTATTAACCTGGCTGGTACTAATGGCATACAGTATCATACGAAAGTCTTGGAAGCAGCGACGTTAACTACAATTAAATACTAAAACAAATGTTGAAAGGAATCACTAAACTACATTGACAAGTCAGAAAAGTGAACGGGTAATAAAGTCGTCCATAATGTCTTTAGTAGCGCCGCCTAGGGACAATGGTGTAGTCCAGATGGAGGGGCTAGGATAGGGGAGGAAGGATAGGGGCACGTGTACTTAAATAGTAGCAACAAATAAATGGGGAACTTCGACCAGTGTGTGTAAATGCAGGTCAATGAATCAGAAATTCAGAACATTTCAAATGATTGGGTCAAATGTGGTCAACGGTGTCTAATAACCTCCATATCCACCCCTGCCATAACCACTGGCGCCTCCACGGGAGTACGGTGCAGCGCTCCTGCCTGAATAATTACTCCCTTTCATTGCACCATAGCCGGAGGACTGCTGTCCGTAATCTTCGCCAAAGTCATTGTAACCGTTCCCACCATAACTGCCCCCCATTTGATCTCCATAACCTCCTCCGTATCCCCCTTGGTTACCGTAACCACCTCCGTTGCCGTATCCTCCACCGTAGCCGCCATCATTTCCTCCATAACTACCGCCATAGCTGCCGTAGCCGCCACCTCTTCCGCCGTCGTAGCCATTTTGAGACCCCCTCATTCCTCGCCCGCCTCTGCCCCGACCGCCGGCTGACTGCATCTCTTGCTTGGTGAGGGCCTTCTTCACCTCCACTTTGTGCCCATTGATTGTGTGGAACTTCAGCACCACTGCTTTGTCGGCAGAGTCATTATCTTCAAAGTAGACAAAGCCGAATCCTCGTTTTTTGAGAGTCTGTTTGTCACTGATGACTTCGGCCTTCTCAATTGCGCCGAATTGAGAGAAATAATCATTCAAATGGTCGTCTTCTATGTCGTCTTTCAGCCCACCGATAAATATTTTCTTAACTTTGGCGAGTGCCTCTGGCCGACCGGCATCTTCCCGTGCAACTGCCCTTTTTAACTCCACGTTGGTACCATCGACGACATGTGGCCTGGCGGCCATGGCTGCGTCGGCCTCCTCCGCGCTTGAGTAGGTTACAAAGCCGAAGCACCGGGACCTTTGTAGCTGTTGGTTCTGGACCACTACGCAGTCGGTTAACTGGCCGTACTGCTCGAAATGTTGCCGAAGTCCATCGTCTGTAGTCTCGACGTTCAATCCACCGACAAACAGCTTGCAAAGTTGGTTGGTCATGATTACTAACCGAGTTGTTATGGAGCAAACACAATTGAACCTGACAAAATCGTATCCCTTTGAAAGCAGCGAGCGCTGACGCAAGGACGTCTGACGTAGGATTGGGAAATTAATCACCAGTCCTGATTGGTTGTTCCACTCAAATCCCACCATTTTATTCAAATAGCTGTTTTCCTAATTTGTCAACTCGCACTATCCATCACGTACTTAGCTAGAATCACTAATTCAGAGGGGTATACTACAAAGCAGCATCAATGAGTTAGCCAGGTAACTTTGATAAGCAACCAGAAAACGATATATGTATGATCCAGAACGTCAATATAACTCAAATAAGACTCGTTCAGACCCCCTATAAATCAATACCCATTCACGCACAGAATATTTAGGCTAGTTCGCTGGCTAAATCCTTGATCCTGCTTTGTAGTATACCCCCAATACCTCATTCCAGTGTCCACTTCTAGCACATTATGCCACTGATGTGTGCACTCAAAGCAGGGTTGATGCTGTGTTCCACCTTTATCTCCCCTAACCATGAAAAATACTGCCATTGCACAGTCAAGTGTCAGATAGCAGGCACTTGTGGAACACACACTGCATATAGAAATCAATCTTGCAGAACAAACTTCTGACATGTACCTTAGAAAATCAGACATGGCATATCTGCATTAGGGCTGGGAGTTGTCAGGGACTGCATGATATCACAATATGTATTGCGATTCGGTACTGGTTTTATTGCAAACATCACTAACCATGTCTGCTGCAGAGGGACAAGTCATGAAAATACATTTTGATCAGTCATGGAAAGAAATGCTGAAAACATTAGCTCCCCGTTTAAAAAGGTAAGAACAAGCTAATTATTTGAATTAACAGATTAGTATGAGTAACTATTTTACCAACATTTGAGTTAGGAGTGCAAGCCATAGGCTAAAACTCCCATGTAACACAATGTTCAGCAATTGTACATTTTCCAATTAAAACAATTTATATAAAATAAATAATAAAAATGTAAACATTTTTCTATTGCAGCAAATAATGAAATACATAGAATGTCAGCTTCAACAATGCAGTGTCCATTTTTCCATAGTATGTGATGATCTAACATTCACACCCAGTCTTCCCACAGGGGGTCAGTATGAAAATGTATGCACTCACTAACTGTAAGTCGCTCTGGATAAGAGCGTCTGCTAAATGACTAAAATGTAAATGTCTTCCTACAAAAGGGTACGAGAACAATACCAGATTATAAAAATGGTCAGGAGGTCCTGGTATTCCAAATCAACTGTGGCAGTGGGACAGCCTTAGTTGCAACCCCACCCCCCAGGTCTTGATGGAACCAAGTCATTGCCAGATTGGTTTCCTGGCAGTCAGGTCACCATGGCTACCTGGAGGAGAAAGGATGAGAGTAAAGAATGAGACAATGCAGATAAAAATAATCATGCCATGACAGGAGGCAGGCCTAACACATACCAATTCAGATTACGGTAGAAATTGCACTTAATCTCCTCAGCCCCTTATTTTAGATTTAGGACCAAGTGCAGTAAAAACCACTCTTAAACTAAAAAGCTGCAAAAGGCAAATTAAGATTAAGATCAACTATGGATAAATACAAGAACTAGCAATAAGTGAAATCAAATGAGTACATTTCAGTACCATTTCAAAACCATATCTGAATACTTGACCAACACAGTAAAGACAGGTTGATTTACATACCTAGTTTGCTGGATGTGATCCTAAAGAGATATTTCAGAATCCTATGACAATCGACCCCAGGTATTGCACAGGGACCCTGTATAAAGTCAAACTGACACTGCTATTTTGGCGTACTTGGATAAGTATGAACACCTAAATGTAGGAATCAAAGATAAAATGATCCACAATATTCAAAAGCCAGTAAACCTTATGGAACAATTTGTTATTGCCAACCAACAATGCCCCCATGCATTGGCCATGGGCAAACTGCAATCCCTTCTTCACCCACCTTAGTTAGGCAGTGTAATGGAAGAAATACCATGAAGCTAATATTAAAAGAGTCAAATAAGTCACATAATATAACCAATATCAGAAGTGGACTTAATGCATCCTGGTAAAATGAGTAAAATAACTAGCTAAGTTTGTTTAACTTTTTATTTAAAATGAACATACATATGCATACCAATGCTTAACAATTGTAGTTTGATCTTCAGACAGATTATACAATATACATGAGATATTGATGGTAGTAAATGAATGAACATTAAGCTCATAGCTGGACGCTATGTGTGTAGGGAAATTACTGTGACGTACTTCGTTGATTTACAAAACATTTTGGCAAGAAAAATGAAACGTTTAAACTGGATCCGGCCCACCAAATACGCGTAACCTACAACCTATAGGCTAGTGGACAAATTATACATTTACATAGTCATAGCTAATAAATCAAATTCTATAGCACATGCGTCCTATCCCCTGTAGACTAGATCCAAGGGGAATTCCTTATTACTTGCTAAAGTGTAGATAAGAGAACGTATAGTATATCAAACAAAACAATATTAAGACTAAACTCAAAACGAAAGTACGCATAAGTAAAATAAAACTCAGGCCAACTAACGACAGCCAGCTACACGCCCTCATCTTGGAACATAAATGATAAATGTAAATTTTGCATTCGAACGTGTCCTATAGCAAGAGCTGGTCGTGCAAATCAGGTTCTGGGAAGTGATCTTCCTACCTGTTTGGTTTTGAGGTCTTCTTAAATGATTAGGTTTCACAGTGTCCGCATTTTGCCAGATGCCCGATGACTGAATTTGAGTTCGGTTTGAAGATCAGACGGGTTTGATGGTGTTGAAGAGGAGATTAATTTTCAAATAGTCTATCGTAACAACTGGTTTAGTAGCCGCCATACGCCCCTCTATTGTAGCCACCCGCACCGCCTCGGGGGGCGTATGGAGCAGGGCTCCTACCGGCGTAGTTGGTGCCGCCTTTCATGGGACCATAACCGGAGGACTGCTGGCTGTACCCACTGCCAAAGTCACTGTAGCCATTGCCGCCACCATAACCTCCCATCTGGTCGCCGTAGCCACCTCCGTAGCTTGCGCCTCCCCCATAACCCCCGCCATAGCCTCCACTTCCGTAGCTACCGCCATAGCCACCAGCACTGGCACCATAGCCCCCACCGAAACCACCCCCGTAGCTGTCGTAACCACCTCTCCCGCCTCCGAAGCCATTTTGTCCTCCTCTCATGCCTCTTCCGCCCCTACCACCACCACGGCCTGTAGCTTGCATCTCCTGCTTGGTGAGGGCTTTCTTCACCTCCACCTTGTGCCCATTGATGTTGTGGAACTTTAGTACCACTGCCTTATCAGCCGAATCGTTATCTGTGAAGTGAACAAAGCCGAATCCTCTTTTCTTTCCGGTTTCCTTCTCTGCGATAACTTCGGCCTTCTCGATCTCGCCGAACTGGGAAAAATACTCATTCAGATGTTCATCTTCGATGTCGTCTTTCAGTCCCCCGATGAATATTTTCTTAACCTTGGCAAGTGCCTCGGGTTTACCGGCATCTTCACGAGCGACCGCTCTCTTCAACTCCACGTTGGTGCCATCAACGACATGTGGCCTTGCCGCCATTGCTGCATCTGCCTCCTCAGCGTTCGAGTAGGTTACAAAGCCGAAACAGCGGGACCTCTGTAGTTGCTTATTCACAACCACAACGCAGTCAGTCAGTTGACCGTACTGCTCAAAATGCTTGCGGAGTCCATCATCGTCGGTATCTACGTTCAATCCACCGACAAAAAGTTTGCAAAGTTGAGAGGAGTTGTCCATTTTTCGACAGGAACGACCGCGTTGTTCAACGAAACTTGGGGTAAAAAATAAGCAATGCTTAGAGGTGGAGTCGAGAAATGGCATCCAGGCCGTATTTATACCTAAGTTATAGTGACGTCAGACTACAGCAACACCGTTACGCCCCCTTGCATTGGTTTGTTCAGGAGGGTCAGTATGTAGCAAAACGCTGCGCAGAGGTGTGTGATTTATAGATCACCTCAACCTCCAAAGTACTCGTTCCAAAGTAATTCATATGCATGACAGATTAGCGAATTTGAGCAGCCCCTAGTACCCAGTTGACCCTCGTGAATAAACGGATGATCTTTTGTTCTTGTGTGGGTTGGAAAGTAATTTTGAAAATAGAGTGTATTTTTATGTTGTAGTTAGTACCTTTTTTTAAAAATGTGTGACGAACTTCACTTTATTGTGATTTTGCGAATTTCTACACCCCATTCACTTCAAATAGGCCATTCCCCTCCATGTTTCTATCCCTTCAAATTGCCTGTATTAATTGCATCATAAAATGACACCCCAAGCCAGCTTCCAACAAGCTGTATAGAGGTGTTGGTTGTTTAGCAACAAAACTAATGCGTGCGCAACTATGGGGCAAAACAGACAGGGTTGGCTTACATTGTTGACATTGTGAACTATATTTTGTCTCCAATGTTAAATAATGAGCACTTGTTGTCTCTCAAATACATCAATAATGTTGTTGGTTAGCTAGCTAGTGGTTTTTGCCATATTAGCATATCATGGTATCAACAACAAGATAAAACTAGCTGAAACGAGACACCTACGATTAGTGAAGTTGTCAGTAGAAGGGTTGACTGACAACGCAAAATGATGCGCCTTGTTTTATCTTGTTCTTACCATTTCTTGTTTTGAGGTGTTTTGACTGATGTCATGTCAATGCTAATATGGCAAAAAAAAATCGCTAGCTAGCTAACAACAACTGTAATTATGTATTTCAAAGTCAGGAAGTGCTCATTGTGCAAATGTATTTTTGTTTTCAATAAACATTGGTAGACTAAATATAGCTTACATGTTTTCAACAACCTAAGCCAAGCCCATCTGTTTTGCCCCATAGTTGCGCACGTGTCGGTTTTGTTGCTAAACAACCAACCCACCTATGGTGAAAGCAAAACTATTGAGTGCCTTCATTTCCACTTAAAGACTTGAACATTTAGATAAATAAAAAGTATAACAGACATTTAGGCCTCTGCTTTTTTCTGAAGTTAGTGAAAAACAATAGCCTTTAAAGGGCCAATCTACAATTGCTACATCCATTTTTGGACTTATAAATTAATGATAGGTACCATTGATTATTTTAGAATATAACTTATAAATGCCTCATAAGCTTAGTTCAACTGTCGCAGCCCCATCAGAACCCAAAATATAAGCTTGTTTTACTCCCATGTTTGTAAACAAAGTAAATGTCTACAAACACTGTATAGCCTCAAAGCATGGAAAACGATTTGTGATTGTTTCAACTACAGATTGCCATTTTAACCTTTACATAATCTAAACTGCAATTGGGATAAATAATAATAACAGGCAAAGGCTACAAACTGTTTTATTTTCCTGGTGCACTATGGAGCTAGTTCATAAAACAAAAGTAATATAATTAAATAACTTATATCATTTAAATAATCTAAAACTGCAACGATGCTGTTCCTGATGTAAATTGTTAAGACTGATTGGATGTATTTGCACAACAACAGAGGTATCAGGTCAGCGCCTCAGACAATGGCACCCTATGCTGCTGCTCATTTGTGTTTGAATGGGGGAGGACCCCACTCTCTGGAGATGTGAAAATGTAATTGCCCTGGTATCGAGACTTGTGGTGCCACCAGTGTTCAAACTATTATTTTCACTGATCACATGTAAGCAGCCTTCATCATGTGCATTGTCGTCTTCAGGTTTATTGGCTAGAATGTGTATCTCTCTGAATGTCCCTGCTGGTCCCTCACCGAAAAAACAGGCTTCTGGCAAACAGTTGTGGCAAGTCTGGCCGATTTGTCCAATTCATGTACAAATTAGTTTTGTGGCATAATATTTGCAGCAACTTGTGAACTTCTGGCAAACAATTCTGCGAAACTTGTGGCAAACATTTTACTGTTTGCTGCAAATTTCCTGCAGACTCATTTCCTGCAGACAGGTTTTTGTTAACTTTGTGTATTAACTTGCTTCTCACAACGAAAACTAAACTAAATGTACTAAGTAAACTAAACAACATGTATTCAATCTATTAACAGATAAAAATAAATCCAATACAATTTGAAATTGAAAAGAGCAAAGACTGAATAATTCCCAGCTACATTTTTTATTTCATATTTTTAAACTGAACAAAAATATAAACACAACATGTAAAGTGTTGGTCCTATGTTTCATGAGCTGAAATAAAAGATCCCAGATATTTCTCTCAAATGTTGTGAACAAATGTGTTTACATCCCTGTTAGTGAGCATTTCTCCTTTGCCAAGATAATCCATCCACCTGACAGGTGTGGCATATCAAGAAGCTGATTAAATAGCATGTTCATTACACAGGTGCACCTTGTGCTGGGGACAATAAAAGGCCACTCTAAAATGTGCAGTTTTGACACACAACACAATGCTACAGATGTCTCAAGTTTTGAGGGAGCGTGCAATTGGCATGCTGACTGCAGGAATGTCCACCAGAGCTGCTGCCAGATAATTTAATGTTAATTTCTCTACCATAAGCCGCCTCCAATGTCGTTTCAGAGAATTTGGCAGTACGTCCAACCGGCCTCACAACCGCAGACCATGTGTATGGCGTCTCGTGGGCAAGCGGATTGCTGATGTCAACATTGTGAACAGAGTGCCCCATGGTGGTGGTGGGGTTATGGTATGGGCAGGCATAAGCTACGGACAATGAACATTTGAATGCACAGAGATACCGTAATGAGATCCTGAGGCCCATTGTTGTGCCATTCATCCGCCACCATCACCTCATGTTTCAGCATGATAATGCACGGCCCCATGTTGCAAGGATCTGTACACAATTCCTGGAAGCTGAAAATGTCCCAGTTCTTACATGGCATGCATACTCACCAGACCTGTCACCCATTGAGCATGTTTGGGATGCTCTGGGTCGACATGTACGACAGCGTGTTTCAGTTCCCGCAAATATCCAGCAACTTCGCACAGCCATTGAAGAGGAGTGGGACAACATTCCACAGGCCACAATCAACAGCCTGATCAACTCTATGCGAAGGAGATGTGTCGCACTGCATGAGGCAAATGGTGGTCACACCAGATACTGACTGGTTTTCTGATACACGCGCCTACCTTTTTTTAAAGGTATCTGTGACCAACAGATTCATATCTGTATTTCCAGTCATGTGAAATCCATAGATTGGGGCCTAATTAATTTATTTGAATTGACCTATTTTGCTTTTATGAACTGTAACTCAGTCAAATCTTTGAAATTGTTGTATGTTGAGTTTTAGTTCAGTGTAGCTACAACATTTACAGTGTCTTCAGAAAGTCTTCACACCCCTTGTCATTTTCCACATTTTGTTGTGTCACTGGCCTACACACAATACCCCATAATATCAAAGAGGAATTATGTTTCTAAACATTTTTACAAATTAATTAAAAAGAAAAAGCTGAAATGTCTTGGGTCAATAAGTATTCAACCCCTTTGTTATGGCAAGCCTAAATAAGTTCAGGAGTAAAAATTTGCTTATAAGGGAATTTTCTGTACCTTCCTGACAGTGTTTGTTTTCATCATGTCTGAGGCATTTCTAGGACAGTGAGATGTGTTTTACACATAATTGCCCAGGCGGAAGTTTCATGGACTCATTCTGTGTGCAATAATAGTGTTTAACATGATTTTTGCATGACTATCTCTGGACCCCACACATACAATTATCTGTAAGCACCCTCAGTTGAGCAGTGGAAGTCAGCGTTCATGCGCCCAGCCCACCTCAAGGAGTCGCTAGAGCACGATGGGACAAGGACATGCCGGCCAAACCCTCCCCTAACCCGGACAATTGTGCACCGCCTCATGGGTCTCCCGGTTGCGGCCGACAGCGACACAGCCTGGGATCGAACCCGGGTCTGTAGTGTCACCTCAAGCACTGCGATGCAGTGCCTTAGAACGCTGCGCCACTCTGGAGGGATTTTGAAGCTATTTAACCATAAACTTCATTGTTTAAAACCTGGAGGTGTTTTGTCATTTTATGAGACTTTCAAAGTAGTCTATCCAAAATCCGACCATAGAAATGTTTCCATTGAAACCAGCATTTATCATGTTCTATTGTTCAAATCAACTTTCTTTCAAAGGCACAATCCTAGTCATATTAGCAACCCATTGTTGCTAGTTGTTGCATCTTTAGACCTCCCATCTTTCTAAATGTCTAACAGATATTTTCATCTCTGTCACATGAAACTCCTGGCATGTGCGGTGGTCTTTTGAGAACAGTGTTTTCCTCATTAATTGCATTTAGGAATATTTGTGCGTATTGCCCTACTGCCGTGTGCGCATTGCTGTGCTTATAATGTGAATAAATAATAGTTTATCAACATTTTAAGTTAAACATTCTGATCTGTTGCATCAGCCTGAGCTTTAGTGGATTGCATGAACTTGGAAGGTTGGACATGGTTTCAGTTTGAGGTGACAGACTGAATATTCAGGTACATTTCCACCACAACAGGGGATGTATCACTGGACATGTTTCACAAAGGTTAGGTCACACCCAGAGATGCATGTGAAAGTGTCTGGTGATCAAACCATTAGCACCAAATCAATACATTGTTTAGCATGTCTGGTTGTCTCAATGACTGTATGTTGGTTACAACAACAATCCTAACTCCTAGAATAAAAATACAATATGTTTAAAAAGACAGTGTTCCATGTAAGTATTGTAATAGTATTCATATTTGAACAAGTCAAACAATTCCATTTCGCCAGCAATGCGTTGTCAAGAAAATTACACATTGACACACCTTGGAGAACAGAATCTATTGATCCTTG